AAGCAGCAAAAACACCTAATATTTCAGTTGTTTTTCCTACTACAAGAATCCTGTGAGATCAGGTAGGCTGGCGAAAACACAAGAGAATCCCTATTAGGGAAGTATAATTGCATACAAAAAAACCCTAAACAAATGTTGAGACTATATAGTCATGCAATTGAAGAAAAACCCTTAAATAGGTATGCTTTCTTGCTAGATATATCTTGAATGTCTTAAAATAGCTTACCTGTAGATGGAAAAATACTGCTTTGTTTTATCCTGACATTTCTTTTTTATTGAGACTAGGAATAATTTCAAAGACCACTGAAAATCAAATTTTGAACATCAGGCTGCACTAATCAAATTATGAAGCTTTTAGTGATATTATAATTATTCTGAAATCTTGGCCATCTGTTTCTACTGAGTTAATTCCATTGAGGCTGCCAACTCAAGGAAACAGAAGAAATGCAAACAGCATATCCAGAATTATTTCAATTAAAGTCCAAGAGAACCCAACAAGAAGAGAACACAAAGTTAATAACCATGATCAGAGGCAGGGTCTGGGATTTGACCAGTGTTTCTAAACTCCAATATTGAGGTTAGAGAATGTCTTGGTTGAGGCCAGTGCTAATAAAAGCCCTTATCTTAAGCTAAAGAAGAAGGAATGAGCAAGGAAAATTTATACCTATAGATTCAGAGGAACAGAACATGGATTGTGCATGCCTAGTGTTATCTTAAGACTCTGCTCTTAACTTCGGTGAAATGAATAAAAATATAAGCTTCAAAACACAAAACATACTGCTAGCTAACATAAATTCTCCTCAAAGTTTACATCAAGAAATGGAGGCTGTGCCTCGTTCTTATAATGCTAAGCCATGCTTGTTGAATAAACTTCAGATAATTACATTCACAATTAATGTTAAATTTAAAACCATTACAAACCACAACTAATGGACTGAGCCATTAAATGAAGCCAAAATCAAACAGATCCATTGTGATTATGTGCATGAGTAATACCCCAAGCTGATTATCATGAATCAATCTGTCAAAAATAGCTGCTTTATCAATCTTGCATTGTAGGTAGATAAGATAGGATCTGAGTTCTTCAGTTCCTCTTTTTCTTGGTTGACTGATATCCACTTTTTCAATATCCAATAGCATTGGAATTTGTGGGACTTGACAGAAATATCTACAATGTATATTTTAATTCATCTCTGGGAGAGCCCTTTATCACATGTGAGGTCCTGTATGTAGAAACACTAATCTCTCACACCTTCAAAAATAATCGAGAATAAATGGGTTCTACAACATGCAACAGGGCTTTTAATGACTCATGAACTGTTCATCTTATCAGACCGAAACACTCATTTGAGATAGTCTCTTTATGGAAGAAACAGATGTGCAAATAATAGCTGAGAAAGCACAATGGATTTCAAGAAGGCTGAAGATCAGAGGTTCGTTGGCTTGTTATCTGACAAGTGATCTTATGCTGCACACTGGAATCTGGGATTTTTCCATGGTTTTAGTTTTTTGGTAAAAATGATACTTCCAATCCAGGAACTGTCTCCTCAATCAGATATACCAGCAAGTTACATTATTTAGATTAATTCATACTGTAAGAGAGCAAGTAGTGATGACCACACTTAATATAAGATTGCATATAGTCTATGATTCTCCACTGCCATACACAGGGGAACAAAAACTTTTATTCTGGATAACAGTAACATTTAATAAAATAAATGCAATATTTGGCAAGTCAGTATTGCAATATAGGTACACTTCAAAACTATACATAAAACTTTTTGCTGAAAATCAGATTTTTTAAAATTCTCTTGAAAATAAGATAATGGCAAACATAAAAATAAAGGCAGGCATTATAATGAAACGTCTGTCTAATATTTAATATTTCCACAGTAGTTGTTGAAGATTCTTCAAGATAGTATTCATAGTACTAACAAGTGCTTTAGAAATCCAGATGATCAACAGAGAGCAGCAGTGAGGACCAAACTATAATAATTATCTGCTGACATCTACTGATTGTTCGGACTGTTGTAAGTCAGATCTTATAGCTCTATGGCAAGTTTAACTTCTAACAAGTTTTTTAGAGTTTCTTTGCGAAGTATTTGCAAAATGCAGAGGTATCTCATTACTCATTGTTAATTGGTTCCAGGAGGCGTGATGAGTACCAAAACCCATGAGTACCAACAATTTTTTTTCCCATAAGGAATAATAGTGAATAACAAGTCAACCAACATCAATAAGTTGTAGCTTAGGCACTGAGAACCGGGACAAAATGTACACATCAAAATGCATTGAGTACCAAATTTGATGAGTTTCAAAGCAGTTGAGTACCACTGCAATTCAGAACTAAATATTGCCAGACAATAATTGCTGCTGAATTGAATACTTTTTAGATATTTCAGTCCACTTTAGTGTAATCACTGATTAATCTCAAATCTATAATTTAATCCAAACGTACACCTTTAAACATACGGACAATATATCAAGGATTTCTTTTTAAAAAATACTGAATATAAAGCAGAAAAAGAAAATATATTCTTATTGATACAGTAGAAATCAAAATAACTGAAAAAGAACCATGAAAAAAATAGCATTTGGTTGAAATTAGCTCAGTGAAATCTACTTGAGCGGGTTAAACAGTGAGCTCATTGGAATCCAACAACTCCATGAACCCCTTACTTAGTTCAATATTCTGTACATTCTCATTGGAGCAAACATCACCAAATTCAGTGGTACCTAGGTGCAAGGAACTGCACATGGTATTGTGCTGCAATTCTTTGCTAGGTTTATTTGTTTATTTTAGAAAATGTATATGGTAATCATCTTATTCCTCCTCCAGTCATGTTAGCTCAGGAATTCTGGGAATTGAAGTCCACAAGTCTTAAACTTGCAAAGTTTGAAGACCCTTCTTATATGATCCCTGAATGACTAACAATAATCATTTAAAGCAACATGATAAAACCTCTCTAAATCAAGCAAATGTAATATAATCATTATACTGTGAGGAGGGCACAATGTAACAAACTCAATTAGAAAAACTACACCTGTATAAGGCTTATCTCACACCTCAATTCACCAGGACTTTAGAGTTTTCTCGAAGGCAAGGATCTCTGGATCTTCATGGAAACTGCTCCATAGGGTGGGTGTCATCAAAGTCACAACATTGTGTAATAGAGAGGAACTGGGACAGGCAGAGACCCTTGGAGATAGGCACTCTTACAAATAACTTCATCTTGTGCCATGCAGGGCTTTAAGGATAATAACCAATGCCTTGAATTACACTCAGAAAACAATGAAAGTCAATACAATTGTAATCCAGGCAAACCTTAGCTGCCAAAACTACAGCATGCATGTTGCTGTGTTCTGGACCAATGAAAGCTCCTGCGTCAATACAGAACACATTATAAACAAATGGGAAGTGGCAATGAGCAATGAGTTATAGAGAATTAGTTTTGCCTTTATATAATTTTAAAAATCTTTTAATTATTCTATGATGGTCACAAACCAAAGGACAGAAAAAGCTCATGTAAGATTATGCTTGAACTGAAGCCATACTGAGAATTTGATTTTTTTCAAACAGGATTTAAACAGAAGAATTGTACCTTTCTTGCTAGCTGTGATTTTTGTCCCCATCCTTTGGAATTCAACACAAATCAATTAAGAGAAAGAAAAAGAGTTTGTACCACATGCTGCAATAAAATATGGTTGGTTGGTTTGCAGCTGTGTAGTATATGAACACAGGCAATCCGATTAACTCAGTAAACCACAGTGAAAATTCAACCTTAGATACGTAATTATATCATGTGTAACTATAGAGAAAGTTTTGCTGTTTTAATTTAGAGATGATCAAACCAAATCATTTTTTTCATTAGTTAGGGTTATATTGCAGCACTGGGAAATTTATCCAGAAAGCGGCAGCTATGGTGGCTCTTACAGATGCCATTTTGTTACAATTCATTTAGCATTTGTTGAGTATGGCACACTTTCTAGAGCAGTTTCATTCAATACTAATCTTCCATACTGGTTTACTTCAGCCACTTCAATAAAGATATTTATAGCTAAATAGGTCAACTAAATCCATCCATTAGGGAGTCCATCATTATCCCTGAAATAGTTATGTAATTACTTCAATCTTCTGCAATCACAGAATACTGGTAGTCTTTGATTTACCGACCACAATTGAGCCCAAAATTTCCATTGCTGAGCAAAACAGCTGTTAAATGGAATTTTGCCTCATTTTACTGTAGCCTTTCTTGCTATGGTTGTTAAGTAAACCATTACGGTTGTTAATTTAGCAACACAAGTGAATCTGACTTCCCCATTGATTTGCTTGTCCGAAAGCCCCAGGACATTGCAACTGTCATAAAGACATGCCAGTTACCAAGCATCTGAATTTGATCACATGACAATGGGGATGCTTTTTTTTTTTACAAGATGTAGAGTACAACAAAAGGACAGCAGTTTTGAAAAAGGGCGGGTGACACAAAAGCCATCAAGCAGACAACAAACTTCAGTGTTATTAGATCTTCCCCTTTTTGCTGTAATTAAGAGGCGCCGTGCAATACAGTCTGGTGTGCATTATTAGATTCTTTTAGGAGAACAGCTCAGTGCCATATGATACGACAACGTCACGCCAAAGCTAATCTGAATAGCTAGTCTCCTCCCACATTCCTTCATGCGACTTTTAGATTACGCTTTCACCTAAATGTGGGTTTCCCTTGTCCTCTTTTCTCTTGTCGTCTTGCCTTCAGAAAATATCGGACTATCTCGAAAGTTCGCCAATGGGCGCATCGAGGTAACCTTTGAGCTATAAAACATACGTGGGGTTCCAAACATGAAATGACGCGATATGAAATCGCATCCGTGTGCAAAGGTGTCCCTGCACTTTGCAGCAACATAACAACCTCACTGTACTCTTTTTTTCCCTTTCCGCCATCTCGCGCCCTCCCCGCACAAAATAAGGGGGTGCATGTGAAGGGGTACATCCGGGTTTCACTCACCTATCATGGCCAGTGCTGGCAAGGGAGGGAGGGGGGCGCTCTGAAACCCTGATGTGTTCACTTTCGAACTGCAAAAGCCAAACTTGAGGATCTACGCTCCCTGCAGGCCGGCCAGACGGTAAGGTGCCCAGTGCGCAGGCGAGCAAAACCACGTTACAAAGCGCTTTGGGAAATGTAGTGCTCCACCTTCCTCCTGCCGCGGGAGGACTCCGCGTGTAAATACAAACGTATCTGTCAATCGACCGGGCTATCTTCTTTCGGCACCCTAGTCTCCTGGTTCAATTATCTCAGTTCTGCGTTGATCCCAGTAGAATTCTCTTTGAGAGCGAGATTGGTCGCGCGCTTTGCACATCCTTTTCTGCGTGTTACCACAGTACTTTGAATAATAAAGAAGAAACTACAGCATAGTTAGAACTAATCCCTTGCGATTTACACGCCACTCAAGAAACAAACGCTTTTTTAAAAGGGCAGCGAAATGAATTCAATTCCTGTTTTGGAGGTTGCTTTGTTTTTTTGTTTTCCATCCGCTTATAATAGATGTAGAACAAGTAGGTTATTCCGTATTGGACTTAAAGGTTTTTTTTTAAAGAGTGCATCTGACCAAATTTTTCATGTTAAAGCAGAAATGTTCAGAACATGAGCAACATTTTTTTTAAAAAAACCCACATTTATTTTCTATAGAGCATAGCGCTCTACTTTGCAATTCTTTGCTTTCTCACCATAAAAGCCACACCAGTTTTGTTTTTGGTGGTCATTTGGATTTATTTATTATTATTTTTATTGAAGTTATAGATGCCACAGAGTCTTTTGAGACTGGGGCGGGTTACAAATACCTCGTTTGTAAAATAAACAAACAAAACTTTGCCAGCGTGTACATTTCTGCTTTTTTTTTTGCAAGCAATGAGAAGATACGCTATTCGAGAATGAATGAATCCCATAGAATGTCAGTACAATTTACTCGTCAGAAAACGCGCAAGGATGAATTAACAGCCCCTTCATTTTCGGGAATTGTACATAAAGTGTATTTCGATTTTTTTTAAAAAATGTTTTAAATTCTTCCAAATGTCACGATATTATTATATATGGGGATAGTCAATTCATCGCTCTAATTTGCACCCCTATTCTGAACTAAGTAACTTTTCCTCATGGTACCAGTGGCGCTCACATTTTCTGATTCAGAACAACCTACTTTTGGTTTTCAGAACAAAACCACTCATGGGAAAGTTCTGGGCTAGCGAGGGGCCATAGGACTAATAAAAGCGACCAAGCATCCAGCCTGCTTTAGGCGTCTGAACCCTGCTACGTTGCTATCCTCTCCCTCCCTATTCTGTCAACTGAGGGCAAAAGAATCCAGCTACTAATTTTCGTGACTCCACGGAGTCGCGTGACTTCAGTTACGCCGAGTGCGCATGCGTATGTAAATCGAATCCGCTCAGCGGTGCCGAAGTTTCCGACACGGGCGGAATCCTTGTGCTCCCGCGGCTGGCTGTTGATACGTTGCCTAGCAACCGATTCCTAGAATCGAGTTGGTGTTAGAAACAGGCATATATTTTCCCCCCTTCCCCTCCTCCTCTTCCTCGAAGCCACACAGGAGCCTTCCCAGGGGCTAAACCAAGGGGTGAAAGGGAGCAAATGCAAAGGGACGAAAATTAGGGTGGTTTTTGTTTTTTGTTTTTGGCACAAGGAAGAAAACAAAAATCTGTTTTTGTATCCAAATAGTTTCCTTTTAAAATCCCGACCTCCAATCCCACGTGCAGCAAGCAGCAGCAGCCTCAGGAGAAGATGGTGGCTGAGAAAGAGGGCGTAAGCCCCCCCAAATTAAGACCCCAGCAACTGCAGGAGCCGCTGCGACACGCAAGAAGAACCAAGAAGCAAGTCAGCGATGGATTCACCATCAAAGCAATGATGAAAAACACCGTGGTATGTTGAGATGCCGTTACAATATAGAAGGATTTCTGGCCCTTTGGGTTGGTCATTTAAACTACCGTCCGAGGGAGGAAGGGCCGGCCGGCCGTTTGCAATAGGTGGGGGAAGGACGGGGTGACAGCTTGAGTTCGGGAGTGGGGGAGGATTTGCCTGCCAAGTCCCCGAAATGCCCCCTAAGCGAACTTCGCCCACCAACTATTACAGATTACAGATTGACAGAGTAGGGACGGACCTTGTAAGTCATCTAGTCCAACCCCCAGCCCAAGCAGGAGACCCTAACCATTTCTGACAGATGGCAGTCCAGCCTCTTCTTGAAAGCTTCCAGGGATGAAGCTCCCACAACTTCAGAAGCTGTTCCATTGGTTGAGTGCTCCTGCTGTCAGAAAATTTCTCCTTATTTCCAGGTTGAATCTCTCCTTGTTCAGTTTCCATCCATTATTCCTCGTCTGGCCTAATGGTGCTTTGGGAAATAGCTTGACCCCCTTCCATCTGTGGCAGCCCCTCAAATATTGGAACACTGCTATCCTGTCACCAAAGTCTGTATTTGAAATGATTTCCTTTCTGCTTTCCATTCAAATACGTTAATGATCCATTCCACTGCTTCCCGTGGTTAACAAGTCTGACTTCAGATCCAGTAGATCACATACACTATGCAAGGAGCCACCCAGATTATAAGAAGTTGTTCTTGATTGAGAGATATTGCTCTCTCTGGCTTTTGATCTGAAGTGTTTATTCTGTGTTTGGCTAGCTTAATGACCTGCTTATTTGTAACCCAATTCTTTTGCAATTTTTTGCACTTGTAATTATTATGATTTTTGCCTGTAGTACTTTTATCTCTTTTTTTTTTCTTCAGTATTTCATCTGTTCCACAGAGTCCAAATCTCTTGGTGTTCTACTTTTCATAAAACATTCAAAATATTCTTAAGGTTATCACAAAGTAAGCATTAAATAAAACTCTACTGCTTGACCTGTATCCCCACTGCTTTCCATTGGAACTCATGTATGGAAATATAAATTGCACTTTTGGAAAAGGGACAAAACCATTCCAACTTTACTTATTTTGTTACTCTAAGAATTTTCTTTTGTGTGTGAGAGAGATGATTAAAGTATTGTCACATATTAAATATGGGGAAGTGCTGTGTGATTCTGTGCATAATTATTCCAAAATAAGTCAATGATAAATGAGCCCTACACGAAACATACTGTGATTTTTATTCAGAAGTCAAGAAGTCGTCATAGCATGTAATGAACTTTACTTTGAATTAACTGTTTGTAACTTTATCTGCGATTGAAAACTATTCATCACAGAACTTTCTTCTAGATAGAAGTTGTAAAACATTGCAGTGTTACTGTTAATTCCTACCCAGAGAAAAAGCAATGTCTACTTGTATAATGTCCAAATATATTGATGCTCAAGGATTGCAAGTTAGTTTTTTTTTATTTATTTAGTGTATGGCACATGTTAGCCAGGGATCACCGAGGTGACTGGCTGCCTCTGTGAAAGGAATTTTTTTGGGAGTGTTATCTTTACCTGCGGGATACCTGAATGCCAGTAGGCATTCGAGGGATGCTCCTTTCTTGTCCCTGCCTGGTTTATTCGCTCACAGGAAACGAACTGCCAAGCTGCCAACCTCAGCGGTGCACAAGCCCAGTGTCTTACCACATGAACCACCACGGCCCCTTGCAAGTTAATATATTACCATCTTTACTTTTCTGTTCTTTTCCACAGTTCATCAGCATTATTTTATGCATCTCGACTCAACATTCCCAGCCATTATTATTTCTATGAGACTTTCCTTAAGGAGCATGGAATAACTTAATGCCATAGTCTATGTTCACACAGAACACTTTATTCATTTCAGACTTTTTTTTGCTTGTTTTGCTTTTGAACAACTTTCTCACCAGAAACTAATCATACATTGAGATTGCACAAGCAAAATGCAGTTGCTAACATAGCGTTGAAGTTGGGCAAACATAGTTGAGGTGTAGTTTATAAACATTCTGCTGTCTCCATCTTCCCCCATGCTGCTTTTCACTCAATATGAGTCATTCTTCTAAAACAAGGTTGTTGTTTTTTAAATAGAGATCTACATGTACTAGTATTGCCAAGCAATGGGAAAATCCAAGAGCATCTTGGATCTTATGGGTTCAAGATAGGAGATTTTAGCACTGATTTTCATGCAAACTGTTTGGGGTTTAGCACCATAGCTTACTTCAGTATGGCCCGTAGGTTTGAGTAAAAGTTAGTGGCTTTGAGAATATTAAGGAATTGAGTCAAGGCTGCTGGTATACTATCCATGAACAAACTACAAACTTTTAACTACCTGTTGAAGAAACTTATGAATGAAGATTATTGGGAAATGTAATATCTGAATATACACACAATAATTTCAGGTGACCAAACACGATATAAAAACTAAAAAAATACCTTGTATTGAGACTGACTCTTGAGGGACATAGCCATGTAATTTTTCTAAGAACAAAGATTTCTCATTGCATTCATCAGACTTGTTTCTTTTTCACGTCTTAGTCTAATATTCAGTCCTGGTATGAGTTGGTAGTATCCCATCAAGTACAAACCAAACTTAATACTGCTTAGCTTTGAACTTATACTAGATCATCTAAGTGTAACTGCCTGCTCTATTCCAGAGAGTGTAATGATTTTAAATCTAGCAAAAGAATAACAGAGCAGAACTGCAAGCACTTCAAAGTTTAAGTTAAGGAATAGAAGAGAGTTTCGAGAGATTGAAAGAAGAAAATTGAATTTTTTTTTCCAAATACTGGGATTCTCACATTTTCTCCAGGGACATTGCTCCTATCTTTGCAATAACTTTGAAGTTGCAATGCATTATAGATAATGAAGTCCCTTATTACATATACATTCTCCACTTGTTATGATGCGTTGATAATAAGATCATAATGCTTCAGATATAAATTATGAGTTAAATGGAAATTATTATAATCAATGTAAGTGTATAAGCTCAATCCACAGAAATATTTTTATATTGGAAATAGTCTATCATGGCAAAAATTATCTAATTGCTTCCAACAGAACAATAGAGCTGATAAATGTGGCATGTTTAGAAATGGCCCGCCAATAGATATCTTTGGTATGAAAATTGTATTATTTTCACCTGATAATTGATTTTGGGGTAAATATATATAATACAATACTTTGAGAATCAAGTATT